GGTAAAGTAGAGGGTTAATAAAAAAGAGGAAAACCCCTAATCAGATGAACTGACACAGTAGCAATTTGTGTCACTGGGCTGAAAAGTTTCAATTGTGACGATCATCCAGAACTGGGCGGTGTTTCCTTCTGCTATACATGGGCTGTTATGAGTTGAAACTGACTTGATGGCACCTAACAACAACAAGACTTGAGAGAAACCATAGGCTTTGACTTTTTTTTGTTATTTTGGGGGGCGGGGGAGTGTGCCAGGGGAGGTTATATAACAAGGAGGTACTGAAGGGCAGAGAGCCCAATGTTATTTACGTACTTGGCACAAAGTAGGCCCTCAGAAAGTATCAGGACATAGCACTTTGCACGTGCTCCCCTTCACTGCCCCCTATTTTCCTCCTAATATAAGATAGTAGGCAATTTAGAACTTTTTGCTTCATTTCCCACAATGGGAGAGATGCAAGGTGATGTATGGAAAACAGTCCAAGTCACACTGAGGCCCAGGTAGTTAAGGGTCACTTGCAATTCAGAGCAGCTTGGCTTAGAAACTATCAAAGACAGGCCTGGGAAGTGGTGGGCAGGCAGCAGGGACTCAGGCGTTGTCACATCCATCTCCTTGGTAGCTAAGACACCATCCTGCTTCCCCAGGAATAAAGACCCCATGCTAGGAATCACTTAAGATGCTAAGAATGGTACTTATCATCCCCACTTTGAATTGAAAAACAGTAAGATTTCACTAAGAGATAGCGCTGAATTGAGACTGCAGCTTTGTATGTCCCGCTGTCCCTGGACTGCTTTACATGAACAAAGTTGTTTTCTCATCTCTAAACTGGAATAATTCACAGTACTGTGGCAAACAGAATTATAATTCTACTGTGAATGTGTGTGAGGAGCTTGAGCCACACTGCAGAATAAGCACTGTTATTGTTGTTAGGTGCCATCAAGCCAGTACCAACTCATAGCAACTCTATGCACAGTAGAATGAAACACTGCTGGATCCTGGGCCAACCTCACTACTGTTGCCACGCTTGAGAATAAGCACTAGACTGTTACAAACTCACCAGTTGTCCCGCAGGAGGGAGAAAGATGAGGCTGTCTGCTTCCATAAAGATGTGCAGCCTTGAGAACGGCAGGCAGCTCATTATTTATTAGGGTCATTAGGGCCAAATTTCTCCATTCTATGATATAAGTCCTAGCCTCTATGCCTGTGATTATGGACACATTTTGAAATTAGTTGGGACTCCTGGTGTGGCACTGTAGGATCAGCACTGGACTGCAAACCACAAGGTCAGCAATTCAAACTCACCAGCTGCTCCTTGGAAACCCTATACAGTGCTACTAGGAGTCTAACTTGGCTCAATGGCTCTTAAGTATTAAGGATGTCCCAACTTAGAGTGTGTGACTCAAATCACCACCATCAGTTTCCCTTAGGGCATGGTCTGATTCCAATTTATAAACTGCCCTGGAAAAGCTTGTTTTTTTGCCTTGGGTCTTATATCTGCTCATTACGTCAGAGCTCCATTTTGTGGGACTTTTCCGCTCATCATCTGATCTGATTTACCAGCTCCCGCAGCCTCATGCTTGTAATGTGACCCTGCTGATTTGGGTTCCTCAGCTCCTGAGATTATGTAGGTGAGAAGATTCCCCCAGACTTATTTCTGAATTACACATTAAGGACAACGTCGTGAGCCATTTCATTTGACAGCTGTGAATTTTGTGAGGCATTGCAGTGTGTTGCACAACCCTGGGACTTGAAGGAAGGGAGGATTGGTGATTGATATCAAGGACTATCAAGGGACATAATATGTCAGAAAAGTCGAACAGGTGGGCTATCTTTACCCTCCAATTCAAACCCTACACGGGGTGGCTAAGTTGGAACCAATTCTACAGCAGTTGGTTTGGGTGGGTGCATGTGCATGTGGGTCCCAAGAAAATAAATTAAGTACACTATCTTCATCAGAATCATACTCATATATTTCTAAACCTACTGCGTGGGAGTCCTGGCATGGCTCTGTAAGACACGCACTGGACGGCTAACCACAAGGTTGGAGTTTTGATCCCTACGACTGCCCCTTGGAAGCCTCATATAGGATTCCTGACTCTGTGGTACTTAAAAACAACTAGAGGGGAAAAAAATATTATCTGAGCTTCTATTTCATTCAAATAAAATATAACTTCAGTTTATAACTTACGGAGCCTAGGGATTTAACTCCTGAGTTATCATAAGAGGAATCTGATACGGTAGGGACTCATGACGCTAAGTTGTGCCAAAATAATTATCTTTGCCAAGGGATAAGATAACAAAGAGCTTCTGAAAAAAGCAGCTGGAAGGTAAGAGATGGCATTAACCCAGTTTGGGATAGGGAGGCTAACATCCTGAGATATTACAGCCCAGCGGCCATAACAGAGCTCTTCAGTATTAGAAATCATATGTTGGAAAAATAGCAGAAACGGAAGAAGAGGGACAGACACATCTCTTTATTTCCTTTCTGAATAAACAAAGTATTCTCTGAGGTGGGCTGCGTTGAAAAAGGCATGAAGTATGATCCTTTCCCACAAGATTTCCCCACAAAACCTGCTGGCCAAAGCTTAAAAAGCAAGAAATAGTAACTCAATTGGACTGAAAAGGAAGCAAAGGCTAGCGATTTCATCAAATTATTTCATCAAGAGATTTCATTGAGAAAATTGATGGGCAATATTCTGTGTGATAAAAGGAAAAGAAACACATTCTGAAAGGCCTCCCAGAGGACGAGGACCTACCCCGCCTCCCAGCAGAGGAGAATAGAGAAGACTCCACTACACCATGTTTGGAACTTAACTGCACTCAGGGATGACACCCGCGCTCTTTTCTCTTCGGTCATTGGCACAGATGCTAGTCTGGCATGCAAACAATACATACATTATGACTATCTGCCAACAATGTATTTATTCTTGTGGCCGGCCAGGAGACTTGCTCTCCGACCTAGCACTGTGGCTCTGGCTGCCGCCACAGTTGTAATAAATCAAGAAGTTGTTTCTTGGAAGGCCTCTAACAGTTTACAAACAGAGCAGCTCTGATCTCATGATGTTACAAAGTGGTTAAAAAAAGCAGCAGGGATCTCACTGAAGATGAGAAATTCTCAACAGTGAGACGCATCTGAGCAAGATCTCCATTCTCTAGAACCGTTCAGTCTCAAAAAGCAGGTAAAAGTGAAACAGGGAATGACAGTAAATTTCACCTCATAAGTAACAGTCAGCATAATGAACAAAAGTCACTGAGTCAAATGTGCTCCTCAGAAGGGAAAGTAGCCCTGCATCACTAATTCAATACCCCATCACTAATTCAACCAACATTCACTGCGTGCCTCTTCAGGGCCAGCCACTCCCTGAATACCACAAATTACTAATGTGCAAAAACGTACACTCTTAGTAGAGATGTGAGGAGCCATGGTAGCGTAGTGGTGACAAGTCAGGCTGCTAACCTCAAGGTCAGCAGTTCGAAACTATCAGCTGTTCCCCCAGAGAAAGATGAGGCTTTCTGCTCCCATGAAGATTTACAGCCTCAGAAACCCTGTACAGAGTCACTATGAGTCGGAACTGACTCCATGGCACATAACCACCACCTGATAGAGATTTTATTAAGAGCCATCAAGTCAGTTCCTACTCAGTTACCCTGTATGGGTTTCCAATGCTTTAAATTGTGCAGAAGCAGAAAGCCTCATCTTTCTCTCATGGAGCAGTTGATGGGCTCAAACCACTGACCATGTCATTTGCAAGCCAGTGTTTATCCTCTAGAGCCACTGTGTTCTCTAGTAGGGATTGGTGTTGTTGTTAAGTGCCAGTGAGTTGATTCCAACCCACAGTGACCCTGGTATAGGGTTTTCGAGAAGTGGCTCATAAGCTTGAACTACCAACCATGCAATTCAAACTGACTTTGCAGTCCAGCACATTAACCTACAGTGCCACACCAGGACTCAGGTATATCTATAAAGGGAAATTAAACCAGTTACCATTTAGCTGATTTAGACTCATAACAGCCCAAGTGGGTGATGTTTTGGAGGTGAAGCTCCATGCCTTTCTTCCAAGGTGCCTTTGGGTGGACTTGAATTTCTAACTAACCCATCAGCTAGCAACTGAGCATGTTAATCATTTGTACAACTACAAGTAAATAGAAAGAGATAAGTGGATAGGTAGCTAAATAGAGATTAAAAGATATAATCTACCACCCACCCTCCCCCTCCTCTCACTGTCACCCAAATGCACTCAGCTGGTAAGCACCATTCTGCCTTCAGAGCCTCCAAAGTAACAGAATGCTTTTCATCTCAGTAAACCCACCAAACAGAGCTGATATAGAAGTCTTTAAGAAGCTATACAAGGAAAGGACACAAAAGTTGGGGCAGACAAATAGGAAGAGGAAAGAGGAGCAGAGAAGCAAAGGGAGGAAAAGAAGGAGGATTCAGCAGAACTGAAGAAAACAAACTACAGTTAATCAGTAAACCCACTCCCTGAGGTCGGCAAGGACGCTCATCCCCGAGGGAGTTTGTGTGTGAGGAGCTTGTGTGGGGAACTAAGAGCCCCACAGACTGTGTTTGGGGGCCAGTCAGCTGCGCAAGTCTGAAGGCAGTCAGTCAAAATTAGTCACATTGCCACGAAAGAGTCAGAAAAGGTCTGTGTGGGGCAGGGAGCCTGAGGGACTGGCAACCTGGACAAAACCTGCACCCAGCTCTCCGGGGATACCTTGGGAGCGCTCTGTAGAAGCAAGATGACTCAACTTCTCTCACCTGGAGGATATACACACCCCTCTTCATGATTCCACCCACCCGCTTTCTTCCCTCTCCCTCACTAAGAAGGCCAGTCAACGGTAGGTAGTGGTAGCATATACGGACACACATGAACACCAAATGGCAACCCCAGAAATGTTATTCCCTGAGTCAAGGCTTTCTCATCTTTTATCCCGTGGAAATTGAGTACAGATGTGGGTTGCAAAGTGGATGCAGAAAGACCCGGGTGCCTATTGAGGCTGGTACTCACCGTGAGCGGCTCCCCCTGGAGGGCCTGCAGGATGAAGTTGCTGACAACCCGCCCGTCATTCATGTGCATACGTGGTCCGAATGTGTTGAAGATCCTTGCCACTCGCACTTCAACTCCTTCCTGAAAAGAAATGTGTTTCATCTCACAACATGCAACTGTGTTCTTCGCATTTCCAGTGCCCTGCATGTGAAATGCATCAGAACACATTCCGCTTTCATTACAAGACGAGACTGTATCTATATATTTGTTTCTGATTATACAACAGCTCATCGTAAACAAATTTACACACTCCACATAACATACTCCTGGTGAGCTAAATCCAACTCATGCTGACCCCATGAATTTCAGATTAGAACTATACACCATAGGTTTTCAATAGAAACAACTTTACAAAAAGGGGTCCTGGTGGTGTTGTGGTTAAAGTGCTCGGCTGCTAACTGAAAGGTGTGTCATTTGAACCCACTAGTTGCTCCGCAGGAGAAAAGATGTGGCTGTTCTCGCCAAGATTAGAAACTCTGTGGGACTCTCTGTCCTACAAGCGCAACAGAAACTGAAATGGACTCAATAGCTGTGGTTTTGGGTTTGTGAATCTTACAAAGTAGCTCACCAACCCTTTCTTCTGCAGTGCCTCTGGGTGGATCTGAACTTCTACATTTTCAGTTAGGAGCTAAAGCAAACCCTTTGCATGGTCCAGGACCCTCCAAGGTCATACCAAAGAAAGCAATTATGTGTGTCGTATCTGGCTTCTGAAAGGCTACTGCCACTTACATTCTGGTAGAAAACTTTGAAAATGATTAAACAGTGCAACGAAAGAGCTGTTCATATACATTCATCTTCAGTAAATATCTATTTTCCCAAATGGGATCATGGCAGGCATACAATTTTATAATCTTTTGCACATAACATGTTGTACAAATTTATCACTCAACAGAGATTTAAATGACAATGAATTGACAGGGGATGCAGGGGGAAAAATGGGAGTACTTTAAGATCTATGAAAAGATGGGCAGAAAATAAAGGCCTTGAGAAGAGCTACATTGAATCATTTTGCGATCTTGCTACTGTTCTTAGCTGCCAGCAAATTAACCTCCAACTCTTGGTAACTCCATGCAAAATGAAATGCAACAGTGCCTGGTGACTGGGTATGGAGTAGACCTTTGTGAACTGGGTTTTCACTGGTCTTCAGATACAAATCACACTTTCTTCCTGGTCTGTTTCAGTCTGGAAGCTCTGCTGAAATCCGTTCATATCATAGCAACACGTAAGCTTCTACTGGCCACACAGTGGTGCCTGCGCAGGAAGAAACTTAGCTGGAAGCAAATTTGGGTCTTCTGCACGCAAGGCAAGAATTCTGCCCCCACGCTATCGATGTCCCCAGTATGCTGAATGCCAAACTAAAAACAGACCTACTGCTGCTGAGTTGGTTCCGACCAGTATCGAACCTGCAGCTAAGACTAGAACGGCCCCATAAAATTTCCAAGTTGTAAATCTTTACAGAAGTGGTCTGCTACATGATTCTCTCACAAAGCAGCTCTTGGGTTCAAACTGTCAACCTTTTGGTTCGTAGTCAAGTGTTTAACAACTGAGCCACCAAGGTTCTCCTACACACACACGCAATCTGCTAATTCTGCCTCCAAAGTCTCGAAAATCCTTGTCACCCTCACTGGGTCCAACACCAAGCAGCCATCATGTCTAATCAGATTTATAAAGCCCGAGTTCTCCACTGCTTCCTGCAATCTCGCATCTGCACACAAGGGCTAAGGGATCTTTTAGACATTTGACTGGGTTCCTCTAATCCTCTGCTCAAAACCCTGCAGCTGTCTTAGTTCAAAGACTGAAAATACCTAAACAAATCTGATAATGCCCAGCTGTCCACCAACCCTTCTTCACTTCCCATTGCTGCCTTGGCTCCCCACGTGCCAGGAGACCTGGCCTATCTGCCTCTTCAAGCACCCCCTACCTTGTCCCCTTACTCTTCTCAGCCTTTAGCTCTCCACTTAAACACCATCTCCCCACACAGTGTACAAAAGCTCCCCCAGCTAATTAGCCTGTGGATCCCTGGAAGGCAAGATTCTGGCTTTTTATTTAGAAAATCTGTGTGTGTGCAAGAACACATAGCCAGACAGTCTACATTTGTAATTCAAGGACATGGATTCCACTCTTGTGCTAACATCCTCACTATCCTCTTCCAAATTTTTCTAGCACCACTTTCTTTACCTCACTGCTCCCTAAACTTTAATTATTTTTGGAGTGAATTCTTAAAATGAGCACAATGCTCTAAACACTGACATTTTATCAAATGGATATCTGCTTCCTTCCATGAACAACTGCCTCCTTTGCCATGAGATCACAAGAACCAGCTAACATTACTGAATATTCTGATCAAAGATTCCACAGTTTCTCCCAAAGGGGAAAAACTATGGAACAGAACTTCAAATTCTTTTTTTCAAAACAAAACAAAACAAAAAACCCTAGTCTCTCAAGGGCTGACGGGATGCATATGGTAGGAAGCAACACACAACACCGTGTTCTAGAATGAATGAGTGAGGAACAATGTCAAAACCTTCCTGTCATTAAGTATGGAGATGAACACACTCAACAGGCCCCTATCACTCTTGTATTCCTTCTGGTTTAAGTCCATCTCTTTTCCTAATGTGCTCTCTGGCACAGCTCCCTCATACCTTTGAGCTACTACACCGCTGCCCCATTGCTTTCCATTGTCCACGGAAAATGGTTCACTTTAGAGATGTAGTGAGCCACATTCGGCTTTAGTAATAAGCCGAATAAGTGTTAGCATTTTTTAAAATTATTATTAGAATTCAAGGACTTCCTGTACTTTACTATCTCTTGCCGCACGCTGGGAACTAAACACTCCAGGACATATGCATGAGCCCAGTGCATGAACACCAGCCCTGGTTGGGACCCTCGGCCTGCATCTCCAGCCTTGTCTACTTCAGGTCCCAGTGCTGTCTAGCAACAGGCCCTATACACATAAAAGCTGTCATGTCTAAAATTCCATTATCTTTTCATTCCATTTCTCCACAAACTTTTAGAAGTCCCTCGTATAACCTATTTAAAAACAAAAAATATCTTGTTTTAGAAATCCAGCCCACAAAAAGAGCACAAAATAGGAACAAACATTTATGGCAGACCCATGTTTACCACAGCATTATCTGTATTGGGGTAAAAAACTAAAGACTTAAGAAGAGTTCAATATAGGCAATTCATTAAACAGGGAAAATACATACTAACATCATATTTAAACTGGTCATTTCTAGGTTGTGGGCTTATAGATACTTGTTTTCCATGTATTTTCATATTTCTCGTTTTCTACAACAAACAAGCATTACTGTTGTGATCAAGAAAACACAATTTAAAAATATGCAGATTTTGTATAACCACAAAATCCTTCTTCAAATGATCTTTATTATTTTCACAAGCTATTTGTGGATAGAAAATTTGAACTTTTTAAATCACAAATTCTGAACTGGTGGATTTTTATTTTGTCTAAGTGTATTCTATATGTTTAGCTCATTTGTCTATTAACATTCATTTACTCAGTTCCTGACGGCAGGTAGGAAGGTGAGGTTCTTGCATCTCATGGCCTCCAAGTATCTTCTGGATCGACTCACTTTACCCTCTCTTGTTCTCATGTATAGCTGGGGAGGATTGATGTTGTTGTTAAGTGCTGTTGAGTCAGTTCCGACTCAGCAACGCTGTGTAGGGTTTCCAAGGAGTGGTTGTTGAGTTTGAACTGCCAACCTTGTGGCTCAAACCAAGCTTACAGTCGAGCGCTTATTCTACCTATTTCATAGGCACTCGAGTCTTCTTGTGGAAACTGCAGTGTCTCTATAAGATAAGCACTGGTTCAAGTCTGCCAGCTGCTCTGAAGGAGAAAGATGAGGCTTTCTGCTCCTGCAAAGATTTACAGTCTTGTAAGCCCTATACAGGGTTACTATGAGTTGGAACTTAACAATAACAATAATAAGGATGGCACTACAGAATCTTGGTGTGGTGCTATAGGATAAGTACTGGATTGCTAACTGCAAGGTGAGTGGTTCAAACCCACCAGCCGCTCCTAGGAAACCCTGTACAGCACTGCTAGGAACTGAAACTGACTTGATGACATATAACAACAATGCTACACTTAGTATGGGCCTGGTGATAAATATTAGTTTCTACATTGGTGTGATGCTGTAAGATAAGCAATGGATGGCTAACTGCAAGGTTGGAGGTTCAAACCCACCAGCCACTCCTTGGAAACCCTATAGAGGGTCACTAAGAGTCAGAACTGACTTAACAGCACTTAACAACACTGTTCTCATAGGACCCTCTGGGTAGTACAAACGATGAATGTATTTGGCTCCTGACAGAAGGTTGAAGGTTCAAGCCCACCCAGAATGCTCTGAAGAAGTGCCTGGTGATCTACATCTGAAAAGTCAACAAGTGAAAACTCCCTGGGGCATAGTTCCACTTCGATACACAGCAACTTTTGGTTCTCTTAGTGCAGAGACTAAAAATACCTAATTCAATCCGATAAAGCCCTGACCACAAACCCGTTCTCACTTCCCACTGTTGATACAGCAATGGGTAAAACACATGAAAACCACACACGCATAGCATAATTACACCAATTCAGAATTTGTTTTTTTAAAAAAAGGTTTCTCTTTAATCCTTGAAAACAGTATGTGAAATTAATAAATAAGACAGTCTGGAGAAGTACTAGATTTTGGGGGATTGTTGTTACTACTAGCCAAACCAGTTTTTATTTTATTTTCTAATTTGACCACCTTAGTACTGGTAAGTTCAGGGAAGCTGATGGACATTCCTAAGCTACGGGGGCTTATTAACACAGTATTTCTCAACCTGTATAGTAAGTTAAGGGATTATGATGTAGCGCTGTAGGATAAACACTGAACTGCTAACTGCAAGGCTGATGGTTCAAATCCACCAATTGATCCTCGCAAACCCTATACAGAGTCACTATGAGCCAGAAGCAACTTGACAGCACTTACCAACAATAGTGAGTTAAAAGAGGCCCTAGTGGTGCAATGGTTAAGTGCTTGGCTGCTAACCAAAAGGTTGGCAGTTCAAACCCCGCAGCCATTCTGCAGGGAAAA